AAGAGGGAAACCACGCCACCAAATAAAAGAAAAAGATCAGATAAGCGAGGACGGGACAAAACACAAGTGAATATCGGCGCTGCTTATTCCAGGTGGAAAGAACTCGTGAAGGAGAAGGATTTCACAAGGGATGCGGAGGTTGCCTGCTTTCTGCTAGACAGGTAATTCAATCTGATAATTTAAAATCATTTTGGCTTCATGTTTGCAACTACTTTTCCCTCTCGTCTAAGTTCCAGTGACAGCTAACGTTACGTTTACGTGCTAACGTTATCCTAGCCTTGGCTAGCGTTATCCCAGAGCTACAGCTAAATGGTTAGCCTAGCCTACAGCCTAAGGCCTGATTTATGGTCCTGCGTTAAATTAACGACGTCGCTATGTCGTAGGGTACGTGGCTACGCAGGAGGCTCGCCGTAGCCCCCGGCGTAGCCTGACGTGCACCTCCCCAAAAATGTAACTACACGTTGAGGTGACGCAGACCCAGCGCAGACCGAGAGGGCTGTGATTGGTTTGTTTGGTAGCAACACATTTCCGGTTCCGTATTGCCAGATTGCGCCATCCCCGCCATCTGTAAACATCTTCTGTTGCGATGTAGATGTTGCAGTATTAAGGCCCATTTATGCTCAACGTTCAATACGGATACGGACAGAGCCATCTGTCCGTGCTCCGCGTTCATTTCTCTGTGACCGGAAAAGCCGGAAGCTAAACAAAGAATCAACTAGAGACGACGATAACCATTCAGGAAAGGAACGCAGCCTCCTACCGCTCTGGCGGTGAATTGCGCCGCGACGAAATGGAGTGACAGAGAAGTTCGAAGGGTTCACGATGGCGTCATGGCTATGTCGTAGGTACGTCGTAGGTACGCCGCAGGACCATAAATCAAGCTTAATCTGTTGATTCCTCTCACGCTGCTGCGAAGGCTGCCACCCTCCTCCTCTCTCTGGGTAGCCGAGACACACCTCTTCGCCTGGCCGTTCCTGCACCGTCTCTACCCCCTCGCCCCCTTCCTCTCCCTGGTCTTCCTCCTCTCCCTCTTCCTCATCTCCTTGTGTCCTGTGGAAGAACACTCTAGAAACGCATATATTATAATCATACCAACCTATATTTGCCGCACTGTGCCTGACTACCACATAAAATGTGTTATTTTAGCGTTACTGTGCTAATGTTTGCTCGTGTTACCAAAACAATTAGAAATAAAACACTCCTAACATATATCTCACAGATAACTATATCTCACTGGTAAGCTATAACATATCGTAACATGGTTTAGATATCGTTGCTAGATATTCCTGAAAAACTCGTGGATGAATTAATCTCTCAGGCTTTTTGTCCTACGAGGCCACCGTCACTTACCCGACGGGAGGGGTGAGCGAGTGAGCGCTGCAATCTAGAATTTGACCGCTGATGTCACTGTTAGGGGGCGATCACACAGAAATGAGACACTAGAGACGCGGACACTTCAACGACGCTTGAAACGCTTATTCAATGCGCGCTAGCTACTGGCGTCTGACGGACACTCAATAAGTTGAAAATATTTTAACTTTTCAGTGTCTACAAAGACGCTTGAACGCAGGTCAGACGTGCCGTATCATAGGAAAACGATGGTTTTACTGGCGTCGCGTTTCTAGCATTTCATCTCGGTGTGAACACTCCCTTACTCACCATTTTCACACACCGAGGCTTCAATGATTTTCTGAAGAAAACAAAAGTTCTGGCTTTTTTTTTCTTTAAAGTTTTTTTTGTTGTTCTTTTAAAGATTTTGTTTTTATTGTTTTCACCATTATTCATCACCAGAAACACTGTGAGCCAAAGTGGGTTTGCCTCCAGTCACTCAGGAAAAATATTTGGAGCATCGGACAGTTGTGTTTAATTCAATGTGCTGATTTCTTCTCATCTTCATATTAAACCCTCAGGAACTGTTTGTGTCACAACCTGCAGATAAAGATTTAATATGTGTGTGTGTGTGTATGTGTGTGTTGATTGATGGTTCATTGATTATAATTGTTGTTAATAATATATAATCAGTGTGATAATCAGAGGTTATATTAAATATTAATACATCTGTGCCGCCCTCTACTGGACACTACAACACACCAGTTTAAACAGAGAAGAAGAAGAAGAAGACGAAGAAGAAGACGACGATTCAGGAAAATGTTTTTAAGTATAAAAATAGTCAGTGCAGAAAAGTTTAAATGAATTTAATACAGCTAAATAATTCAAAGACAATATAAAAAGCTTATAATATTTCTTTAACCTGAATGTTAAATAATCCAAATATTAGAATAAAGTTTTTAATTTTTAAATTTTGAATTTTTGTTTGATTATATTCATTGTGTGTTTCTCAAGTTTAAAACTTGTAGATATTGAAGATGATTTGGACACAAACTAATGTGAGGATCGTGTGCCTCAATGATATACTCTGCTTTACTGCATCATCATCATCATCATCATCATTATCATTATAATGATTATTAGTTTAAAACTAATAATAACTTTTCATACAGTACAGGCCAAAAGTTTGGACACACCTTCTCATTCAATGCGTTTTCTTTATTTTCATGACTATTTACATTGTAGATTCTCACTGAAGGCATCAAAACTATGAATGAACACATGTGGAGTTATGTACTTAACAAAAAAAGGTGAAATAACTGAAAACATGTTTTATATTCTAGTTTCTTCAAAATAGCCACCCTTTGCTCTGATTACTGCTTTGCACACTCTTGGCATTCTCTCCATGAGCTTCAAGAGGTAGTCACCTGAAATGGTTTTCCAACAGTCTTGAAGGAGTTCCCAGAGGTGTTTAGCACTTGTTGGCCCCTTTGCCTTCACTCTGCGGTCCAGCTCACCCCAAACCATCTCGATTGGGTTCAGGTCCGGTGACTGTGGAGGCCAGGTCATCTGCCGCAGCACTCCATCACTCTCCTTCTTGGTCAAATAGCCCTTACACAGCCTGGAGGTGTGTTTGGGGTCATTGTCCTGTTGAAAAATAAATGATCGTCCAACTAAACGCAAACCGGATGGGATGGCATGTCGCTGCAGGATGCTGTGGTAGCCATGCTGGTTCAGTGTGCCTTCAATTTTGAATAAATCCCCAACAGTGTCACCAGCAAAACACCCCCACACCATCACACCTCCTCCTCCATGCTTCACAGTGGGAACCAGGCATGTGGAATCCATCCGTTCACCTTTTCTGCGTCTCACAAAGACACGGCGGTTGGAACCAAAGATCTCAAATTTGGACTCATCAGACCAAAGCACAGATTTCCACTGGTCTAATGTCCATTCCTTGTGTTTCTTGGCCCAAACAAATCTCTTCTGCTTGTTGCCTCTCCTTAGCAGTGGTTTCCTAGCAGCTATTTGACCATGAAGGCCTGATTGGCGCAGTCTCCTCTTAACAGTTGTTCTAGAGATGGGTCTGCTGCTAGAACTCTGTGTGGCATTCATCTGGTCTCTGATCTGAGCTGCTGTTAACTTGCGATTTCTGAGGCTGGTGACTCGGATGAACTTATCCTCAGAAGCAGAGGTGACTCTTGGTCTTCCTTTCCTGGGTCGGTCCTCATGTGTGCCAGTTTCGTTGTAGCGCTTGATGGTTTTTGCGACTCCACTTGGGGACACATTTAAAGTTTTTGCAATTTTCCGGACTGACTGACCTTCATTTCTTAAAGTAATGATGGCCACTCGTTTTTCTTTAGTTAGCTGATTGGTTCTTGCCATAATATGAATTTTAACAGTTGTCCAATAGGGCTGTCGGCTGTGTATTAACCTGACTTCTGCACAACACAACTGATGGTCCCAACCCCATTGATAAAGCAAGAAATTCCACTAATTAACCCTGATAAGGCACACCTGTGAAGTGGAAACCATTTCAGGTGACTACCTCTTGAAGCTCATGGAGAGAATGCCAAGAGTGTGCAAAGCAGTAATCAGAGCAAAGGGTGGCTATTTTGAAGAAACTAGAATATAAAACATGTTTTCAGTTATTTCACCTTTTTTTGTTAAGTACATAACTCCACATGTGTTCATTCATAGTTTTGATGCCTTCAGTGAGAATCTACAATGTAAATAGTCATGAAAATAAAGAAAACGCATTGAATGAGAAGGTGTGTCCAAACTTTTGGCCTGTACTGTATATCATGCCGTATGTTCTAACCAGGGTGGGTTGTTCTCATAACTTTAAGTATCTTGTTAAATGTTTAAAATCAGTAAATGTTCACATTAAACGTCGCGTGTTGGACGAGCAGCTGATTTCCTCTGATCTTCTTCTTCTTCTGACCTCAGAGGAGCAGAACGAAGAGAACTGGTGAAACTCAGGATTCACTTCTGACACATTAACAACAAACTGCAGATACAAACAAAGAGAGAGAAAATTCTTCCGCGTGTTGTTTCCTGTCTGAGTCGCCACGATCCTTTAAACTAATGAATACAAACATATGTGAACTCTGAACACGCTGAAGCTTCACTGGATTAGTCTGAACAAGTTTCAGCCTGTCGACAGCAAAACAGCTCTACTGTTTCTGTCTCTGTGTGTGTGTGTGTGTGTTTGTGTGTGAGGTCAGAAACAAACATGATTTCTCCAGTTTTTAATTTCTTCATGTCAACACAAGTCGAGCTCTTCACACGTCAGACGTAACGACTCTTCAAACCTTGGACTGAACTTGTTCCTGTCATGCCGACCTGTCGGTGACTCGCAGATACTTTTTTATTCTTTGAAAGTTTTTTAAGATTTTTTTCTTTAAAATTTCTTGTTAAAACGTTTTCTGATCTGGTCTCAACCACTTTGTCTCATATTTATGTCTCACGTTGTTTCTGGAGCGTCAAGGTTCGTCCTGCAGCTTTCAGCCGCCGCTCATGGCCTTCCTCGGTCGTCATGGAGACAGGTCAGATGTCATCACAGGGTCGAGATGTCAGAGATGTTTCAGGAACGTGTCGCAGCTGAATGTTTGTGACTCGTGCGGACGCTCAATCGCTCAGCGAGTTTGGTCAGTAAATAAACACACTGATTGTTGTTGTTTGTGACTTTATTGACAGTGAATGTTAAAAAGATAAAAACATGGCGGCAGCAGATTAAAACGACCTGAGATTAGAACATCTTCATATTTACAGAGACCCAAACACACACACACACACACACACACACACACTAACATCCACAACCCGACGCACCGTAAAAACACCCTCACACACAAAACACAACACGACATCAACCTGCTCATGACGTCACACAGCTTCCGTGATCGTCACGGCGACAGGCCTGGTGACGTCATACAGGTTTGGTGGTGGAGTTGTAAACAGACGTTTCCTGCCCTGACAGCGGCACGTGGGCGGAGCTTGTGGGGATGGGCCGGTGGGCGCGCTCCTTCCTGGACTTGAGGAAACAGTAGGCGAGGACGGCCAACAGAGCCAAGATGGCCACCGACAGACAGACGGCCAGCGCGATGTTTCCTGAGGAGGAAGAGACGGTGAGGTCACTTCCTGTAACACTATAACTGTACACCACAACTACATCATGGTACTGATCAGAAACTACAAACTGTCAGCCATGTTTGTAGTTTCTGAGATGTAAATAAAGTCACCTGAGTCACTTTCCTCCTCCGTCTCATAGCGGTAAAACAACCCTTTGAAGAAGACGTTACGCTCTGCGGAGACAAAGAGAGGAAGTGACAGTGAAGAGTAAAACAGGAAGTGACATTAGGGAAAAAAAGAAAACAAAGTGTCTCAAATAAACTTTTGTGAATCCTAAAATCCGTCACTGTAAATCTTTGCTGATGTGTGAAAACGTCACGCTGGATGGTACCACGTGTTACTGCTACACGCAACATAGCACTCAATGCTACCATGACGTCCTGCATGACATCATCATGTTGTCCCATCAGGAAACAAGAACCTGAAGGAGGTCCAGGAGGAAACAGGAAATGGTTTTCAGAGAGCGACGCGCAGACAGCAGCTTGTCATCTGGTCACAGTCACAGCGTTGACACTGAGGTGACGCCAATCAGCCGTCAGAGATTCAAATGTTTCACTTCAGAGTTAAACATCACACCTCCTCCAGTTCCCTCGTCACCAGCTGTTGTTTGTGTTTTGCTGTTTGTTGTTTACACAGCTAACACGGTTTTAAAAACAGTGGTTGGAGGTGCTGAATCAGCTCATGTGTTCGACCAATCACTGCACGCTGACATCACTAACAGCTCCTCCTGTGCCGGGACAGAACCAGGGACGTTACTGATTCTGCTTGTCGCAGGATATTTAAGGAGCAGAGACATTTGTTCTCTCTCACAGACCTGCTTGGAGAGTTCTTGCAGCTTGTTCTCGACACATCGTCTGGGCAGAACTTTTTTCTTGTGTGATTGGTCAGAAATTTGAAGTGGGCGTGGTTAATGCGGAAAAGTGCATGTGACGTATGCTACAGTGGGAGGGGCCTATGAGGACCTCCCAGGAGTTCTGCACTGAAGTATGAAACGCCCTGGCCTTCTTGCATGTTCTCCTATGTTCAGGGCTTTGGCCTCGCTAACATAGCAGCTGCTCAGGTGGAAGCAGAGGAGCTGCACAGATCCATCCAGCAGCTCCACCATCCACAGTCAGCTGATTATTTACTGCTGAATTACAGCTCACAGCTTGCACCAACCCAAACATCCTGGTGCAGACTATTTACTGGAGTTTACCAGCCTGGTGTTCATTGTGGATAAAGGTCAATGATAAAAATCTTTGTCATAGTTTTCGGATGGGGGAACCAGGGCGGCTATGACCTCAGGGTCGGCCTGTTACAGGGTACTACAGTGTGTATTTGTGTGTGTGTGTTTTGTACCTGTCACTCCTTTGCACGTCTCTTTGCACTTCTCTTCTTCCTCAAAGTTGTTTTTGTTTCCGTCACAGCCGCCGTATGTGAAGCGGGAACACTTCCTGTCCAGAGGGTCGTAGTACCAGCGGCTGAAACTGGCCCGACATGGACCTGTGCGGGGGGGCTCCGCACACCGAGCTGAGGGGGGTGGTCATTAATGTTAGCATGTAGCCTGTTAGCTTCTAATGCTAGTTGATACAGAGACTGAAGAACTGACCTTTCCTCAGGTTCACATCGATGTCCAACAGCTCGTGCAACGTCTTGTTCACTGAGGAGGAGGAGGAAGATCAGTGCTGGGGGTTGAATGTTTAGTTCCTGTATGTGTGACCTTGTGTGGACCAAAGAGGTGTTCACAGACAGTAGGAAATCTGAGTTGTCCTTTATAAACACTGTGTACACACAGAACGAAGCCTGAAGGAGTCATACGACACGTCACACGTTAAAGTTACGATCTATAAAAACAAACCTGCAGGAAACTCTGATCCGTACGTACAAACAGACGTCTTTAATTTTATAACGTCTGTGACACGTTTAATTTCACCTCATGTCACACGATACAGATCCACGTCACCATGAACGCTGCAGCTGTGTCAGCACCTCGTACATCAGTGAGACAGAAGTTTTCCAGAAACATATTTCAGTTATAAAAATTAGAATTCAACTCAAATGTCACCTTGAACCCTGCTCATTATCCCATCATCACATTTACACCGCTTATTTATTTGTTATTATTTATTTACACTTGTGGTCAGCGGGGGAGCGCGCATCAAACAGACACTTTTAGGGCCGACGTCACGATGACTTTACAATGACATCATGTTATCAGCCGGAGGTGCAGCTGCCTCTCCCCCACAGGGCTGTAGGCTCCATAGGAGTGTTAAAATGTGTTTGTCTTGTTGTGTTATTGGGAGCCAGAATAGAAGGAGTCATGGCTCAAAACCAGCCGCCACTGCCCGTCAACAAAAACAAAGACAACTATGGTTAAATGTGATAAGACCAAAGGACTGGACGGAGGCCATCATCAAAAATGCTCACATGTGCAGCGCACACTTCATATCAGGTTAGGGAAAAAGTATTTCCTGTTGTAGGGATGAATAAGGTTATGTGTATTAAGGGTTATCATGTCCACCTCATCAGAAACTGGGGAGGGATTAAGAGGAA